TTTTCAAATCAAGAAACTCATCTAATTGCATAATCTTAAAACCAGGGCCACTTTCCAGGCCCTGCAACTCAACAACAAAACACTAAAGGTACAAACAAAAAACATATGAACTAGAATTTCTGAACAAAATAAAAGCAAAAAGGTTAAAAAATTCAACCACTAAACTATATACAGATTAAATCAAGTCAGATCCAACCACAAAAACATACATCAATAAGCACCGAAATTAAAGAACAAACAAATCGTAACCCTATATGTCAGACAAACAAATAAACAAGAAAAAATAAAAATTGAAATCAAGTCAGAAGAATCCTAAGCTAACCCTAGAAAAGTAGGTTCGTACCTTTCTGGTCTACGAGGAAGAAGATCTAATCTAAAGCTCTTAAAACGGAAGATGGGAATCCATTTGGGGGCTTAAAAATGGTCGAGATGAGGAAGGGTAACTGCCATGGGAAGCGTGAGGGAGATGGCGAACGCGGCTAGCTCGGTGGACTAAACGACACGATGGAGATAGCGATCTCGGCGAACTCGTTGTCCTAAACGGCGTGACAGAGATGGCGATCTCGGCTAGTTCGGTGGACGGCGAGAGGGAGATGTGCTTCATCGATGTGAGAGAGAGGGTTTTCTGCAAGGTTCATGAGAGAATTTGAGATATTACAGTGTTTTGAGCGAGCAAGGGTTTTCTGAAAAGCTCCGCGCTCGCGAACTTAAAAGTGAATTTTTGTTCAGCAACCTCCTAAAAAGACGACAGTTCTAATAAGGTATCGTCGTAATTTTAAAAATCAACCCAACACATCTATGTATTAGGTACCTTACCACGACGTTTTTATAACTTTCGTCGTCTTTTAAAATACCACGACAGTTTTTATATAAAGGGTCGTCTATTGGGTGTCGTAGTTTAACAAAATTGTAGTAGTGTTTATCAAAGCTATGCGTGAAATTTGACATTCAAAAGATTGATGAACAAGTAAAGCATTATTGGTTTCCAATGCCTTTCCTTTTCGTTGTAAGATTTTTGTGCAAAAATTTCATTTGTAGGGTATTTTGTGTTATTTTTGGTGAAGTGGGGATATATAAGATATGTGATTAATAGAGATGTTTACTTTACAAGGCAATGTAGTATGTTATGTTGTCACACATATGATATATGGATCTATTGGTTATGTCAATTGTTGTTTGAATGTATGGTGCTCAGTTGAAAGCTCAATAGCATAACGTGCCAAATATCTTAACAAAATTACTTGTTTCATTATTTCAATTAAAACTCGATACACCAGCAACTTGGAAATAGAGGAAAGAAGAAATTAGAGATAATCAAAGTGCAGGCAGCCTCACATTCTTAACACTATCAAGTATGAGCTAACAAACCCAATTTACCTCTCACACTGATTCTATTACAAGATGGAAGAAACATCTCAATTAGGCATCAGACCAGAATACATCCATTTCACCCCAGTCACTTTCTGGCACTCCCAAGGCCTTCCAAACAGCTTTGGAGGCATCCACAATATTGTTAGGACATGGAGGCTGGGAATCATGATCAGCATCACATCCCACGGTGGAGTCACACTCATCAATAACCTTGGCTTTGACACTCCTTCCGTTACCATGGATGATAATGTCGTCTAAACACCGGCTCCTTTTGTTGAACCACCCCGTTGACAAAGCCACGACAGGGGTGTTATCCGAGTGGTATTTGTTGTCACATTCAGATGGAGCGCCACCATCACCACCCTTCTGAAAGCTGTTGATGGTCAAGGTTGCTTTTGTACGCTTAGACACCCGTGGCGAGCATGTGTAGGTGGTGTAAAGCTTCCCTTTGTCACAGCATTCTGACTGATTCTCCTTATTGCATTGTCCCTTAGGAGGTTTTTTCCCCCTGATCTTGCCGCTAGGCTTGCATGTTTGAGCTTCAATGCTCCAGTTTGAAGCAAGAATGATTGAGATGAAGAGGAAAGCACCTGAGAAAATTGGATTCTTCATCTTTTTCTTTCTCTTGCTTTCGTTTATGTTTGTTTGGAGAAGTTGGATACTAAGTTGGCTAATTTATAGAGAACATGAGCTGCCTGAAACAGCTGGTTTTTTGTGTACAAATTATGACATGTTTGTAGTCTTTGTAGAGTGAGTATAAGGTTTCTTAAACATACCGTTCCATATACAACTGATGAAGTATATGAATTAAACAACACCATAAGCGTACATTCTGATTCTCTGCAGACAATAATAAAACGTCAAAAAGGCTTCTCAAGGGTGTTGATTATATCACCCTATGCAAGAATCATTTTTGTATTTACTGTTTGTTTATTATCGGATCTGTGTCAGATGGCCTTGGTTGATTGAAATACTAGATGATTCATCACCAAAAGAAATACTAAACATCCATCAATCAATAGATCACATGGGTGGTTCCAACCTCAAAACTAATGGGTGGCGTGACCCAACTCCTTGTAAGTAACTTTTCAATGCGAGACAATTCTTCACATCCTCACACCTTTGGAGTTTGAGACAGCATAGAACTGACAAAGATTCCAAACGAGCTTGACCATGCCTGATATGCAATGCAATTATGCATATTATTCTTAAATGTTTGGAATTTCAGATTGTCAATGCATACCAATTTTCCAATCTCGCACCTTAAAATACAGAGAGGTTATTATTTAATTGACATAAATTGTTGGTTGATTCTTCAACAGCCCAAGTTTTTGGGGTTCAATGTCGTCTAACATAATACCAAAGCACTGATTATAGGTTTTGAATGAGTTCGAAACCCCCAGTCCTCATTTTCTCTTTATATTTCTCTTTGTACAACCTTTACACGTGCAGGATTTTGGGCTGCACGATGTTAAGTTGATATATATTGTTGTCTCATTCTCGAACAACTTAAGTTTTCGGGGTTCAATGATCATCTAATGGTATAGTAGTTCAAGTGCCTAGTGCATACCTTTCCTTTATCATGAAATATTTATTTCAGTCAGTAGATGAGGCACTAATAAGGGCAGTATAAAATTCATGACGGCCAATTCTAAGTGACATACACGATCTCTCAGTGGACAAACACTTAGACAATAGGAACATCCTTAAAAATTTATACTAGACAAAGCATTCTTCTTGTCTTATTTTCATCTGAAGGTGACATATTAAAACAGTATGTCTTGTTGTTGATGCCGTTCATGACACAACAAAACAAAAACAAGTGGTCAATTCTAAGTGACATACACGATGGCATTCCCATATACGGTTTTAACTTTTCAATAGAATACTTTATTTTGATTGGTAGGATATTAACCAAGATTATATTATATATCGTATGTGCTGTATGTTAATTTGTCTGTTGAAAATACTAATGACCATTTGTGACAAAAAAATCCAAAAGGTTCTAGAAGAATCATTAATATGATTAACGTGGTGGAAGAATCTAGAGTTGTTGAGAAAAGAATAAGGAGGTGGAACAAAAGCAATTGAAGTTTGAAGAACATTCTAGTATAAGACAAATATGTGGCTAAGAAATGAAGAAGCCCAAGTAGGTGGCTGTGTATGTCGGCAATGAAAGCCTATAAATAGGCATGGTTGGACTCATCCACCAACTCCCAATCTAGGGGGAGTCCAACAAAAAAGAACTCCCAAACTATAAGGGAGCCAAGAGCTATCCAAAATAAAGCTATGTTGAGGAGCCAATAAGCTCACCAATCTAAGTGTAGGGTCAAATAGCCCAAACTATTCTAAATCTAGTGTGGTGACCAATAAGCCAATATGCTAAGGAGGCCAATTAGCCTACACAAAGTTATGTACTATTCTCCTCTAATCTAATAAAATTACTTTGTTTCCCTTATAATCCAACAAGTGGTATCAGAGCAACTCACATCACACCTGCTAAATTCCAACATTGTCATTGCAAATGAGTTGTGCCTGTATGGAGGGGTGTTATCAACTCCAATTCTAATAATGGCCAAAAGAGGGGCAGGTTGTTGAGAGTATCCCACGTCGAAGGATGGAAGCTTAACACATGAATCATTCTTTAGAGTGACATGGGAGCATGTGGGGCCGTTGGGTCTAACACATGGATCACGTGGTTGTGATATCATGCTAGAATGTGAGCATTCAACCTAAAACCAATTACAACGGAGTGGAGAGGCACAAAAATCTTTTTGGTTACATTGGAGTTTGAACGGGTTAGAACTGGGGTGCCATGGGGGGGTGTGGTGGGAACCCATTGTCAGGCACAAAAATCTTTTAAGCACTCCCAACAGGGGAAACCCTCCAACTCTAACTTTCCATGATTTTGAGAGTATTCCCAAAATGTTTTAATCACTCTAGACAGGGGAGCCTCTCCAACTCTTGCTTTTCAACATGATTCTGAATTTCTGAGAGTAGTCTAAAAACAAAAGGCAAGTGCAAACAAGGGTTGTGCATGGTACAAATAAAAAATAGAATAATTTTAAACTGCCATTTGTAATGACAAATCCAATCTTTCCTGCAATGAGAAATGAGAAATAGAAACTGTAGAATAGAAGTATGTGCATGAAAATAACTATGCCTGAGGGTCTGGACTAACTGTACGCTTAGATATATTAAGTAGACAAGGTGCATTCCTATTCTAGTGCATAATTGAGTGAGAATCCATATTATAAAATTATTCCGCCTTGGCCGTTATGTTGATGGAGTGTATAATATATTGAACTTAAGCATATATATGTAGTTATATTTTGATTTCTATTTTTTAAACCATGTTGGCAAAGAAACTGATTAAGCTTTTTTCAGTGTCAGAATGTAATTTTGTCATTCTGCAAATATCACTAGGATACTATGGTTGGGAAATTCCTATATATATCACCCACAAATCAAGCATATCCCTCACAAGAACACAAGTAGTAGTAAAAGAGAGAGAGAGAGAGAGAGAGAGAGAGAGAGAGAAGATGAAGAGCTCAGCAATTTTCTCAAGAGGGTCCATTGCCCTACTTGTCATTCTTCTTTCAACAATATGCTTGGTGACTGAAGCACAGCAATGTCGTCCAAGTGGTAAGATTAGAGGAAGGAAGGCCCCTGCTGGACAATGCAACAAGGAGAATCACTCTGACTGCTGCGTTGCCGGCAAAATGTACCCAACCTACACATGTTCACCACCATTGTCCGGGAGCACCAAGGCCTACCCAACTCTCAACAGCTTTGAGAAAAATGGAGACGGAGGCGGTCCATCAGAATGTGACAACCAATACCACAATGACAACACACCGGTTGTGGCATTGTCCACTGGATGGTACAACAATGGAGGAAGGTGCCATAACCACATCAGAATTAATGGTAACGGGCGCAGTGTGGTGGCCATGGTGGTAGATGAGTGTGACTCTACCGAGGGATGTGATGCAGACCATGACTACCAACCTCCTTGTCCTAACAACATTGTTGATGCTTCAAAGGCTGTCTGGAAAGCCTTGGGTGTGCCTGAGGGCAATTGGGGTGGCTTAGATATCACATGGTCTGATGTTTAGCTACCTTAGTGTCTGTCGGTCTAGCTTGTTGCTTTATGTGTATTGTATGTACTGTGTGGAATTTTCTCTGAAATATGTCATGTATATTATAGAAGTCAATATAGAGCGTTGACTTCTTCTATCTTATGTTGTGGTTAATGTGAAATATAAAACAATATCAAACATGGACTTCTCTTTGTTTTAATTTATTATCTGGTTCTCATCTCTCATACCTCCTAATGTACATCTCTATGATTTGGAGATGAACTGCTTGAAGCATCTATATAAATTTTTTTCCTTTTCTTTTCTGTATAGAGTGAGTATAATATTACTTTGAAGATTCCTTTCTGCAATATAATAATGAGGTATATGAATTAAAAAGACCATAATGTAATCTGAAGTGAAGACCGTATGAAAAATCTCAGAAAGCTTCTAAGCACTGTTGTATTTACTGTTTATTTCCCAACTTGAATCTGTATTAGATTAACATATGGCTGGTTCCACTTGTAGCAAGAATCTTAAGAATCTTAAGATGTTCCCGAATTCTTGGCCCCATCAGTATGAAAAATGAGAGCCTAATCAACCTAAATATGATTCTAATGCTTGGAACCTCACCTCAGACTGTAATCCAAAAGCAATTCTCATTTTTGCACCTACTAACTGCCAAAGATAGTGTAATTGAGAGAGTAGAGAATGTGAAATAAGAGAGGTTTTGCAGAGAATGCAAATCTAATTTTTCTCATTTCTCATATTGAATATATATCTACAAGTATAGACATAGCTAGAGATAGCTATCCGTTGGTTACAATACAATTCACAATAAATTACAATCTCCAAAGCATGAATTATGTTTCCATGTTTCTAGCTTGTTGTGTTCCCCTAAAACATGGAAAGGTGGTAGAAAAGCTTTTCCTTGTTTCTAGCTTGTCTCAAGTCATTGTCAACACTCCCCCTCAAGTTGGTGCAAAGATATCACGCATGCCCAACTTGTCAACTGAGTCATGAAAGACTTTACTTGATACGGCCTTCGTCAGAATGTCGGCAAGTTGGTTTTCCGAGTTTACAAACGGAAACTTAATTATACCACTTTCTAGTTTCTCTTTGATGAAGTGTCGGTCGACTTCCACATGTTTGGTACGGTCGTGTTGTACTGGGTTATGTGCTATCTCGATGGCAGCTTTATTGTCACAATATAGGTTTGTGGCATTCACTTGTTTAATGCCAAGATTCTTTAGCAATCTTCGCAACCAAAGCAATTCACATACTCCTTGAGCCATTCCTCTAAACTCAGCTTCAGCACTGGATCTTGCTACAACTCTTTGTTTCTTACTCCTCCAAGTAACTAAATTGCCACCCACAAATGTAAAATATCCAGAAGTTGAGCGTCTATCCGTGATACACCCTGCCCAATCAGCATCAGTGTATCCTTCAAGATCCATAGGTGTATGTTTGGAGAACATCAATCCTTTTCCAGGAGTAGTCTTCAAGTATCGCATTATTCGTATTACTCCATTCATGTGTGCTTCACTCGGTTGATGCATGAATTGGCTTACCACACTCACAGCATAAGCTATGTCAGGGCGTGTGTGGGATAGATAAATCAATCGCCCAACTAACCTTTGATACCTTTCTTTATCAGTAGGAGCTTGATCTGGATACATTCCCAATTTGTGATTCTGTTCAATAGGTGTGTCAGCTGGCTTGCAATCCAGCATTCCTGTTTCTGTCAACAAATCTAACACATACTTTCTTTGGGATAAAAATATGCCATGTTTAGATCTAGCAACCTCAATGCCAAGAAAATATTGTAACTCACCCAGTTCCTTCATCTCAAATTCACTTCCAAGGAGCTTCTGTAGATTCTGCATTTCTTCATTGTCATTAC